CCCAACCCCCCTTCCCTCCCCCTCCCTAGACACCTTCCCTCCCTGCTGTAACCCAATCTCCCTCCCCCGCAACCTTATGCCCAGGTCCCGGAACCAGAGCCGCTGCGCCACATCCAGGATGCCATGTGCACCACCCCGGTCCCCCTCTACTTCTGCAGAGCCAGGTATCTTCCCCTCCCCAACCTTATGCCCGGGTTCTGAAGCTGTTGCCTGCGCTAAGCGGCCAGCTGCTAGCACGTGCAGGCTAGGACGCTGTGTGCGACCCGGCCTGCACATGCAGGATATGACGTAGCGTGCTAGGGGCCGTCAGCGGAATGGCATGGGCCGTGAGCGGAACGGCATGGGCCGTGAGCACGGATGTGGCTCCCACACACACACATCCTTGCCCAGGAACCCAGCCCCCTTGTGCTGTGTCCTGACAACCTCACAACTGCCTGGGACCCAGGTGATTCTTCTTCTCCCTTTGTCTGAGGATAAATGAATTTTATTGCAAAATGTGTTTGGATACTTTTTTGTTATGTGTCCTTCACATTTAAAGTAGTTTTATTTCATACAAAAATTAAATGCTGGTTTTGTTTATTTTAAATAGAATTTCCATCCAGACAGAAGTAGATGCAAATCATATGTTTTAAAAAAGTGGCCACCACTTAGCAAATAATAAATGGGGTAAAATCTGTCTCTTAAGTGTTCTTGCTACACACCATTTTGTAATAGAATAAAAATGTAAAAATTAAAAATCTGATTACATCTAAGTTACTCAATTATTTGGGCATTTATTTAGTTGGTAGCTGTACTGAGTGTATTCTCCTGGTTAGTAAATAGAAGCACCAAATTTGGCATAAAGGTTATATTTAGTTATAAATCTACAGGTTTTAAAGGTTGCTAATCAATAAGACTCAACCATCCTTTCGGAAAATATTTTAAAAGTATAATTTAAATTATTAATTGCTCATTTAAACCTACGTTTTCTGCTTGCTGGTTTAAATAATGATTAAAATTAGAGATTTAAATTAATCCACCCTGCTTCAGAGGCTGTTTGGTCTGTCCCTGAAGGAGAAAGCACAGGGCTGCGCTCATGGAATAGGTCCTAGGCTAGTGGGGGTTTTTTGTCTGGTGCCTGTCTTGTTCTGGACAGTTGAGCTAGGGAATTGAAACAAAAGTTCTCTTAATCCCTTTGAACTGTTTCATTGTATAGTGAGGCTGATTCGTGTCCATGGTCACCAAGAGTTGGACATCTTATGTGTTAGGGTTGGAGTCTGAGTGATTATAAGGCTTCTAATAATAAAATCCCTTTGCAGAGTGAGGAGTGGGACTGGGACTCCAGCACTAAGTGATGTGAACAGCTGCATGCTTTGGAAGTCTTTAACTGGCTTGCTGTGGATGAACCAGGCCTCCAATTGTCCTCATGTGGGAAGTTCCTGGCACTCTCCTAGGAGATGAAAATGCCCAGGGGTTTGGGCTCCCTCTGAAGTGTGTGCCCTACTCCCCAGGAAGCTGTACAAGCTGCATTTGCGTGCGCATCCCCAGCAAGTCGCGCAAGCTGCATTTGCAGGCAGATCCTCCCCAGACAAAAAAAGGGTAGGGGTGGCCAAAAAATTGTTTGCTTGGGGTGGCAAAAAACCTAGAGCCAGCCCTGCTTATGATGTCTAGCTGTCAGCTTCTCCCTCCAAGACCCATAACTCAGAGAGCAGGTTGGATATTTTTCCTCCCTTCCAGGGAGGCTAACTTCTTCTACCCCTTGCAAAATACTGTTATTACATTAATGCTGAAGTACCCTAATCCTGTCACAACATGTATTGCTTGCATGTACCCCAGCCGTTCTTTAATTCAATGGTGTTCTAAATTCATTGTGCAGCATCGTCACAGAACCAGAAAACTTAATGTAAGAAGTTAAGAAATAGTTTACAAAATTAACAGAAAAAATAGGCTTTTGTCAAAATAAAGATTTAAAATCTAGCCTTTGTACGCTTTCAATTTTTTTTCAATGTCTCTATTTGTCCCATCTGAATTTGCTTTTCAGTGCTGATATGTCGAGAGGTTCCACTGTTGGATGTGTTTAAAAATAGCTATATTGTTTTCTACACTCTCTAATGATTCATTTGTGGGTGATTGAACTAAATTTCACATCTGAAACTGAAAGGGTCAGATGTCTGCTATCATTATGACAAAAAATCCCAGCCATCATGGAGATTTAATTTGCATTACTCCCCTATTTACTGAGTTAGCTATAACCTGTCTTTAAAACTTCAATTTGCTAAATGACTTAATCCATTAAATATGTTAAAATGCCATTTATATGAACACTAAATTTCAAGATGGCATAGTTAATGATTAATCTCGATATATCTCCAGCACCATTCTTTCCTGGACAGTATTATGGCTGAATTCATAGTTTCCAGGGTCAGAAGAGACTATTGCGATCATCTAGTTTGACCTCTTGTATAAAACAGGCATATAAATATGCCAAAATAATTCCTAGATCTTATCTTTTAGAAAAATATCTGATCTTGACCTAAACATTGACATTGATGGAGAATCCACTATGACCGTTGGTATACTTTTTCAATGATTTATTATTCCTCACTCTTAAAAATGTATATCTTATTTACAGTCTGAATTGTCTAGCTTCAATTTCCAACCACTGGATCATGTTATACCTTTCTCTATGAAATTTAAGAGTCTATGATTAAATATTCGTTCCCCATGTACATACTTTTAACTGGAGATCAATTCATCCCTCAACCTTCTCTTTGCTAAACTAAATAGACTGAACTCTGATTGCTCTAAGGTATGTTTTCTAAGCTATGTGGGCACTGGAACTGGACACAATATTTCAACAGTGGTTGCACCAATGCCAAATAAAGAAATAAAACCATTCTACACCTACTCAAGAGTCCCATTTGTGCATTCCAGAATCATAGTAAACATTTTGGCCCACAGTATCACACTGGGAGCTCCCATTCAGCTGATTATCCATCACAATCACCAAATCTTTGTGAGAGACACTGTTTCCAGGATTTAGGGCCCCATTCTATAAATATAGTCAACATTCTTTGTTCCTAGCTGCATACATTTACATTTACACATATTGAAAATTCAGTTCAGGCTCCAAGCAAGATGTAAATGTAGTCTTTAGTATTACAAAAAATCAGGGACTATACTAATTTCTGCTGAGAACACTTTTAAGAGGAATATTAAGTAAATTATAACAAGCCAGATTTTTAAAGAGCAGGCAAGGAGGCATCAAGTAACTATTTCCTACCATGAATATCAATGAAACACTCATCTCTACTGCAGTGTTTCTCAAAGTGGTCTATGAAACCACCTTGAGAAAACTGCTAACTGGCCACACCGGTGTGTTTACCTACTGGCACTGCAGCCATAGAGCCTCGCAGCTCCTGTCGGCTCCAGTTTGCCATTTGCAGCCAAGGGGAGCCATGGGAAGTGGCATGGGCTGGGATGCTGCTTCTTGTGGCTCTCCTTGGCTGCAAATTGAAAACCGGAGTCACAAGGTTCCGTGCTGCACTGCCAGGAAGTAAACACATCGGCGTGGCCAGTAAGCAGTTTCTCAAAGTGGCCTGCTCTATTGCATCATATCATGTAATTTAGAGACTACTAATCATTTCTTTATTCCACAGACAATTTTAAAGCAATCAAACAGAAACTGTTAAAACAAGATTATGTACCTGTTAACAGCACATCTACCAGTATATGTTCAATGGTAGGATTTTTGAAGGATATGATGATGGATGAATGATGACCAATACAGGTGCTTATACTAGCTGGATCCATTGGCTGAGGGATAAGACCAACCCCAGACAGATGAAATATCCA